GTCCTTTTAAATTACCCCACGCTAAATAATCTTTTATTAATTTGATTACTAAAGTATTTGGTTTTTCTTTTATTAATTAATTAGATAATTTTTATTTCAACGAGAAGACCAACGACAAATTTAAATAATAATAATAGCGAGGAAAGTGAATGCAATGATGGATTAAATGCCAATATAATAGCATTTTATTGCTATATAGCAATAGATTATGCTACAATGACTTATGTTGGAATCAGAGTATTTGGATATTTAAAGAAAAATCTTGGTTATTTAAAAACAAATTTAGGAGAAAATCATCAAAGATACAAAGCATTTAAAACCTTTTCAAGGTGGAATTTATCAATTTTATTACTTGCATTAATACAAATATCATTCATAAATATTGATGATTATGGTCATTATATTAGCTTTGATGAGAAAATCAGATACACTATCAAAACATTAATTTATATAATTATATCAAGTCTAATAAATTTGAACTTTGATAGTTATTATAAATTAAAAAATGAAGATATTGCTACAAATAATCAAGGAAGAATATTTGTGAAGAATGATCTAGAAACAAATCCACCACAAGATGTAATTATACCACCTTTAGCACGCATTAGATCTTCTGGCTCTTTCTCTGCTAAATCATCAGCTTCATCCGAGTCAATCGGACAACAATTTTATACTACAGTTGAAGAGTTGGGAGATGGTAGAGAAGCTGTAGTTTCACTTAAACAATTAACATTTGATGAAATACTTTTTTCTGTATTTAGAAAAAAATAAAGTAAATTTTTTGTACAAGAGAACCTCGTGAACACTTATTTATTGTTAATAATAATAATAATAGATTTTTTCTAAATGTATGATAAATATTTACATCTCTATTGGAAAGTTGTTTTTTTCTGGTTTTTTTTTTTCGAAATAAATTTTTGACAAATAATAAAGATTAGATTTATTATTTTACGCCTACTAAAGCTCCTTTGGAATGATTATTATTTCCAAAAATATAAATTATTATTGTTTACCTCATTCAATCCATTTTAAGAAATGATCTGCCAATTACCGATATTTTTCTTTGCAATTAAAACCATATTTAAAAAAAATAATTAATCATAAAATTTATCAAGTTTAATATCAAGTTTCTATCATTTGGGTACCATTTTGTTTAGGCGCGAATTCGATGTAAATAATTTCTTAATTTAGCATAAATGATTTGACGGCTTGTTACGCTAACTAGTGGTAAATTTTTTTAAAAAAAAATGCATCAAACCAAAATAACTTTTCATCTAAATAAGTTAATCACGTCCCTAAATAAAGAGTAATAAATAAACACATAAATGAAAAGTAGATTCTGTAATATAACTCGTTTTTTTTCAAACTAATTATAAGATTACTGCAGAGAATAATAATAATAATAACAACAACAATAGCTAACAACATGCGACCTTGATAACAATCGCAACTTTAGTGGCGACAATAACAACAACAGCAACAACAACAACAACAATAATAATAACAAAGAATTGTCAAATGATCATTTAGTTGACATCATCAGAGTCCAGGTTTCAAAATCATTCGCCAAAAAAGTTGTTTCACACACACAATATGAATAGATAATGTTTGTTTATGCGAAATAGCTTTTCATTGCAAAAATATAAAAAGAAATTTTGACGGAATTCTATTTTTGTTCACACTTACATATCAAATATATAAATACTAATATATATCAAATATATAAATACTAATATATATCAAATATATAAATACTAATTTATTGAATGGTAAAATAATTTGCCGATTTTTTTGTAAAGAGTTCCTGATAAAACACTTGAAACTTTTATTTAGTTTCTCTTTCCTTTCTCCTTACATTTACGTGTGCTACTAAAAAAAGAAAAAAAAAACCCAAAAATGTTGAATGATTCTGTAATCGCGTTCTTTGTCGGAGTTGCGACAATGGTAGCACTTTTTTTTTAAAAAGTTTCAATTCTGATTCCTAATTTCTAGTTCTCAATCGAACTTTTTATTTTTATTTTTATTTTTAAAAAATAGTTTTCGTTTCATAATTTAATAGTTTCGATATTAGATTACCTACAACGTCATCGTTATTATAATAAAAAATCCTCGTCGACTTTGATTGCATTTTTAAAATTTTTTTTCGAAATTTTTAATATCACACGGCTTATTCGTAAATTTGGATTGATTATTATTACAAAAAATCCAAATGATACGAACGATATTCAATCAGTCGCGGATTTCTTTTTCATGGAAGCTATTGCTTTATTCCTCGTTTGCAATCTTAGACATAGCAACAAACAAGTTTTTATGAGTTCTTTTTTGCTGATTCTACGAACAATATTTAACGCAAGCAAAAAAAAAAATAAAAATAAAAATAAAATTATTTTTTATTTTTATTTTTATTTTTATTTTTTTCCATTTAAATAATTAAATATATATATTTTTTTAAAGATAATTTATATCACTTCGACACGTGAACGCATCGTATATTTACGACTTTCAGTATCGATTGATTTAATCATTGATATTTTATCAGTGTATAGATTATTTAAATACTTTGAAGAACTTCGTTTGATTCTTCCCCATCAACGTCAACTTCGCGAAACCACTACAATTGATTGGAACGTTTTAAGGATGGCCATTATAATTATACAACATTTGATGTTACTATCAAACACATTTGTTGTTAATAATCACGATGATTATTTGGTTTATATTTACAAACCAATTACGGAAATCGTGATTCAAATTTCGCTTTCATATTTCATCATGTTAGATATGGAATTTATCAAAAATGAAAATGAAAATTTCCTACCGGTTGAAAAATATGGTAACATGACTGATTTTTTTTATTCTTTATATTATTTGCGTTCGAGTGTGGCGGCGCGCATATTAATTAACATATAATTTTTGTGACATCCTGAAAAAATTTTACATAAAGATAATAATAACGACAACCTTTTAGGATCAGAAAATTCCATTGAAGACCTGGACGAAAACACAAAAGTTATGGTTTCCGCCCAAGGATTCGTTATTAAATCAATGGGTTTTATCAATAACGATAATTGATATTTAATTTTTATTTGTTATCATTATAATAATAGATAGAAATAAATTTTAATGTTACCGTAATATTTAATCATTATCATTATCATTATTGTTGTTACTTACTTTGGTTCTAATAATCTATCCTTACAATTATTACCAAAAAATGAAATCGTTACAGGTCTAGGTTATAATAGCAAAAACACCATAACAATCATTCCATGTTCACAAATATTCTGATAACTTAAAGGCTGTTGGCAAAGCATGAAACTGCGCCATATTATATCATTCTACTGTTTGCCAATATCTATTTTGAGTTTGGATAAACTAGCATCGATTTAAAAAATCAAATCTGTTAACAAAAGGTTCGTCTGTAGATAATGTACGAATGGCCCGTTGCCAACCAATACCAGTCACTTTCTTTTATAATCCAACATATGTATTCAAACAATACAGCCACATCTAGTAAATATTCAGTTGTCTGTCGAGTATAATAGTCACTTGGGCTTGTGGGTTGAGCCTGAAGTGTATAGATAGAAATAATGAACGTTGTGAATTTTACAAATGCGACAAAATATTTAAAACAATTTTCGACAACGATTTCAATAATAATGTTTCGTCAACATTTTTTTTTGGTGTCGAATATTATTTACCACCATCTTTTCCTCGTCAGTTGCGATAAATCAATTTGGTAGAAATATCAAAAATACAATCTCTCTCTCAAACGAAAACCCCGAGAATACTACTACCAATTGCATATAATATCAAGTCTCGTACAAGCTAAAGCCGCTGCAATTATTTTAGATGCCATTATATAAAGCATCAATACCTTTTCCAATTCAAGATTAATGGTTAAAAAACTTTATAGATTTCAGGTAAAGTTAGCATCATCAGTTTTATAAAGAAGTTTTTTTCCAACAAAACACCCTTTTTTATTTAGTCTATCGATATATTCAATCTACTTTCACTAATCTAACCAATATCGCTGGATTTGATAGCCAAGAAATTCCATATTCTCAAGGATTTTCGATGTTTCCTTTATAAAGTTATTGACATTTTATTTTGTTTAAGGAAAAAAAAAGTGATTGATAATCGAAAGAAAAAAAAATTTATTTTTTATATATATAATAATATATATATATCTAATCTTATACACAATATATATAGCATATTTTTGGATGATATAATATAATTAAACTAATATACAAGAAGAAAAAATAAATTAATTAATAAATTAACAAAACAAATAATTAACAATAAATAAATTAATAAATTATGGAAAGATATTAAAGGTTAAATCCTTTAACAATTATTTTTGGTAATAAATCTTGCTTTGGTACAATTTCTTCAGCAAAAGTATCATTTTGATCTTCTGACATTATCGCAATAACTCCATCACTACCTCGATGAGTTCTTGTGAACCTTTTAATCGATTCTTGCTGCAAATGTTTTACATCCTCTTTATTATTATCATTATCGTTATCATTATCGTTATCATTATCATTATCATTATCACTATCATTATCATTATCATTATCGGTATCATTATCACTATCATTATTATTACCATTATTATCATTCTTTTTATTACCATTACTATTACTATTATTACAACTAACAATATTATTGACTGATAATGATGATGATGATGAAATCGTTGATATTCCATTAATTCCATGTTTTTTAGATTTATACAATTTATCCAATTGATCTAAAGCTTCAGGTGAAAAATCTACATCAAATAAATCAACGACTAATCTTCTGGTAGGCAATCGATAATGATATAACGACAACATTTGTAATACTTTAAAATAAGTCTCAAGTTTGGTAAATATTTCAGGATTTTTTGATCTTATTCTAAAAATTACAATCATTATAATGATATTGTTATTATTATTATTAAAAATAATTCATGTATTCATTCAACCAATTGTCGATCGACAAACACTCACTTTGCTAAAGCACGTGATCCTGTACTTGACAATATTCTATTTGTTAAATTTGACATTGCTTTTAATAAGTCTCTTTCGATTTGATTATTTGATGATGATAGTGGTTTAATTAATTTATCTGCTGGATTATAAAAACCTTTATAATTCCATTTAGGAAACTAAATAAAAAATTTATATTAAATTTACTATTTGTAATAAAGTTTTTTTGATGAAAAATAAAAATATTTTTTACCGAAAGAAATGCTTGGGAATTCATTGGGATACATAGTCCTGTACCAACTCCCGTATCTGGATCATAAACACTTTCCCATTCTAATTCCTCCAAAATCTCAACACCTGATGCAGTCTTTGCTATTAAACCCAATACAAAATAACAAGTTCTAATAATTCAAATAATGATATTTATTATTATTATAATATATATAATATAACCAAACAAAATAAATATAATATGAACAAACCCTTTCAATGAGAGAACCGAAGAATTTTCTGCGATACATTTAATATTTGTAATAATATTTTCTTCTTCAAGAAACTGTAAGCCACTCTTTGACGATCCAATATTGCCCTTTAAATAATCAAATACACATTAATTAACTTTTTAAATTTTCAAAAATTTTCAAATTTGCAAATATATCTTACGATTGCCCACAGAATTGATTTTAGCTTTGTGATAATTGATCGATCTTTATTCTCCATTTTATGTTCACGTATATAGTTTGCAAATTCACAAAAATGTCCTTTCTCTCTCAATAATTGACATCCTTCTTCTGTCTTGGTCAACTCTCCGTAGAAATGTGGCGGAGTTGTTTCGTTAAATGTTTGTCTGGTAAATTAACTTTTATCAATAAATAATTTATCAATCTAAATCATGCGCAAAAAATTGGTTTTTATTTACTTTATATCTTTCTCATCTTTTCTGTTTCTTCCGTCATCGCCATCAAGATTCAATGATTTTGCCAGAGAAACTTCCAATTGTGTTACATAATATTGATTACGACTCTAAAATATTGATTATAATTACGTGGAAATTAATTTAAAGACTTTCCGAGGTTCCGCAAGTAGTTCACATTCGCTGCAAATATCCTAATCATCATACCTGAAACCATTCATCCATCTCTTTTTCAACATAATCAAATTCATAAAGATATTTGAACCCAATCGATGTTGACAGAAATCTCAATAATAATGGATTCCCAATTTCACCTAAATGATCAAGACTTGGTCGTAGCTTTACAAGTAATTCTATGTTTTCTTTATGATTACACGTTTCCTCCAGCACACGAACTGCCATTTGACAAACTTCCATTGCCGGATCGTAAAGCTAATTTTTTTTATCATTACAACAAAAATTATATTTTGTAATGATTAATAAATAATATATTTTTTTAAACAAATTGGAGTATGTAAATATATATAATGTAATTAACCTGTGTAATCAATAATGGTATTCCCCATTCATTAAACATTTTGGCCGACGTTCTTAAAATTACACCTAAATGTTTGGTGGCATATAATCTTACACGCTAATTTATTCAAAAAATTGAAAATATTTAATTAATAAAGAATGTCAAAATTAACAACGTCAGCTAAGTGATTGATTGATTGATTGAACAAATAAATACTTTGTATCCTGAAGTCATAACTTTAGATAAAAGAATACGCGGATGTCCATCTCTAATCATATAAAAAATTATCAATTATATTAACATATATACATAGATGAACGGAATTATATAAAAATAAATCAACATACAGACTATAATCTAAATTTGTGATGATTGCTTTAATTAAATCCTCGCGACTTTTTAATTCACTTAGATGATAAAATGTATTAAATATTTTGAATTTTTCTAATAATCTTAAAAATAAATAAATCCGTTAATAAAATATATCAGAATGGGTTGAGAAAGAAAAAGAAAAAAAGAAATGTAATAATCAGTTTATTTACTTGACTCCATCTCTGAATTTGCTTAAAACTCCAAGCATTTTGAAATATCCTGATGTTAATGTAACGTTAAGTCTTTCTTTTGAAAAAAATGGTTCAGCTTCAAAACTTCCGTTAATCTTTGATTTTAGGAAGAAAGGGAAATTAACATGTCGAATTTTCTGAAACCAAAAAAAAAAATAACTAAAAAATAACTCTTACTGGGTCAAGTTGGTTAAGGCCATCAGCAATTTGTCTTAAAAATTTATTTCCTTCCAAAAATTTTACGCCATCAGGATTTGTTAATAAAGTAGTTATAAGAGTACAACCTAATTGAGTATAACGTTCATTTTCCTAATATGGTTTTTTTTTAATTGGATAGATTATACATGTAAATTTTCTATCTATAAGGAAAAAAACTATTATCATGGTTTTTTTCTCTTCTTACAAACCGGACTTTTTTCAACTTCTGAGAACCGTCTTTTATTGGGCCGAAAGAAACTAATCAGCTGCTTGATGAATTTTATTCTTATGACTTCTTCAAGTCTTTTAGGATTTAATAAAGGTCCTTGTAGTAATTCCATCGCTATTTCTAAATTCCATTTTGTAAAATCTTTACTAGCTAAAATCTAGACATATAAAATAATTCAATTATTATAGTAATAACAAGAACAAGAACAAGAACAATAACAATAATTAAATTTATTAAATTTATAAAAAATAAACAATTTTCATTTAAGAATAAAAATGAAATAAACAAAAAAAAAACAATCCAGCATAAAAAATCTTTATAAAAATAATCATAAATATGGAGAATAAAAGCACCTGAGAATCTAATAACATTGCTCTAAATTGTCCATCTTCAATTTGTATTCCCATTTTAAGTTTAACATTTTCTACTTGTCGAACCTGCCTTTTACGAGGAGTTGAGGCTCGGTTATGTTCATCTATGCCGCTGGATTGAAGACGACTTCTAGTCCTATTGAGATTATCAATATGAGATAAAGCAGCCGTTGCACTATGTCTAACGATCTCATCATCAAATTTTGTTGCCAATTTGAAAAGTCCAGGTAATGACTAAAAAATGTACACAAGTTTAATGATAACATTATATTGTTATATTGTCATTGATTATAATTACTATGATTAAAAAAAAAATCATGATTCCAT